TATAGATGACGTAGGTGATGACCACGGCGAACCAGCAGAACATGGTGAGCAGCATGGCCAGGTCCGTGTTCCTCTGCTGGCCCAGGCAGAAGTTGACGCCGGTGTTGAGCAAGCGAGCTAAGGTCTTCCCGGTGTATTCCTCCCACTCCGCAGTGGCACACACAACGTCCTCCACGGTCTCTGCGTCCAGAGGAAGAGCCTCCACCAGCTTCTGCAGGGAGCAGTCGCAGTGCCAGGGGTTGTCGTACAGCTCTAGCCGGACCCAGGTGAGCATGGCGAAGGGGGCAAACTCCATCCTCTCCAGCTGGTTGCCGGAAAGGTCCAGCAGCCTCAGCCCCCCGCCCAGGCCGCGGAAGGCCCCCGGCGCTATGCTCTCAATCAGGTTGTCCGCCAGGTGAAGCTCGCGGAGCTGCTTCAGGCCGTAGAAGGCCCCGTTGGGGACGTGGGTGATCCAGTTGGAGTCCAGGTAGAGGACCCGGGTGTCGTGGGGAATGTCGAAAGGGATGGTCACCAGGTCCTTCCGGTTGCACCACACCACGCCGCTCCCCGGCGGGCAGTCGCAGCTCTGCGGGCAGGGGAGGCCGCCGTGCAGGATCAGGACCAGGAGGAAGAGGGAGAACGATGCTGGCATCTCTGCATTGCTTTCCTCTCTCTCTGGGTATGGCGGGGGTCACGAGGTGGCAAAGGGCCCAGAATCTGACCTGGAAAAGAGGGCAGGGGAGACAGAAATGAGCCAGTGAGAAAGAGCCTCCTAACACATCCCATGGGTTTCTTTTAACAATATTACCACACCCAGTGTGGATGCGGGTAGCACTGTGGTCTAAACCACTGAGCCTCTTGGGCTTGCTGATCAGAAGGTCAGTGGTTTGAATCCCCGTGATGGGCTGAGCTCCCGTTGCTCTGTCCCAGCTGCTGCCAACCTAGCAGTTCGAAAGCACGCCAGTGAAAGTAGATAAATAGGTACTGCTCCAGCGGGAAGGTAAACGGCGTTTCCATGCGCTCTGGCTTCCGTCACGGTGTTTCGTCGTGCCAGAAGCGGTTTAGTCCTGCTGGCCACATGACCCAGAAAGCTGTCTGTGGACAAACGCCAGCTCCCTCGGCCTGAAAGCGAGATGAGCGCCGCAACCCCATAGTCACCTTTGACTGGACTTAACCATCCAGCGGTCCTTTACCTTTTTTCTTTTTTTTTAAAACCACAATAAGGACCACCTTTTTAACCCATGTTTTCCTTCCAGAAAAAATGTGCGGGTACTTTGTACCCTTTAGTAGCCCCCCCCAAAAAAGGACTGACCACACTAGCATATATATATTTTTCTAACCAGGCTTCAACATCTGCTCCAGGTATGCGCTGCAGTCTGCATCTCACCTTGATTTGCGATCTTCTTGTTTTTAAAAGTGGAAATTGGTTCTTTGTAGTGATCTGATCATTACCATAGTGGCCATTTGGGACAACTGCTCTCTTTCTCTCCCCCACCCCGGCTTTTGCCACCTCCCAGCCCTTTAGCTTCTCTAAAACTTATTTAGCGTTTCTCCAGATTTTAAATCCTGCTATATGTTGCAAAGGCTGCTGTGCTCAGTTCTGCACCCATAAGTTTTGTGAAAGGAGCCTCTTTCCAAATTTGCTTTATATTTTATTCTTGACACATACCCTCCAACAGCATAATATGTTTAGGGGGGGTCTTTTAAATGCCCATGCCATGCCCCTTCAGAGTTTTCACATCACCCTCTGATTCAGCAGCAAATAAAATGTGTGTGTAGCTGAGTGTGGGAAAATTGGAATGACAGACACACAATCACAGCTAAACCAGCTTCGACAGTGGAAATAGTCTATTAGAATAATACTTGGGGTTGTCGCGGTGAATGATGTTCAGTGCTTATAAAATGTGTGGGAGCAGTAATAAGAATAACACTAAAAACTCTTGGACTATCTAACTTTCCACCACGTAGCAAGAATCTTGATGATCAGTTCTAGAAAAGTGGCAACTAATCTGAAAAAGCAAAGGATGACTGGGGGAAGACTATTCAGACTATTGAAGTTATAATTGGATGTCAATTACTTTTAAGCCCATTGTTGATTATTCTGGGGTATATGGAAAAAGATACAGTTCTGAGCATGTCATTCTGGTAAGAAATTTTATTATGCATCACTCGCTGCCAAATGGCGCCCATCTCAAATACCAAGATTAAAAAAGACTGGATTATGAAAGGATACCACTTTACAACGATGGTGAAATTAACTGAATTTACCAGAATGGGGAGTCAGAAACAAGAACAAACTGAAAGATTATGATCTCCCTTTTTTGTCATGTATGGAGCAGAATTACCAAAATACAACCATTTAATGCTGGACTGAACAACCTGCAAAGTCTCTTCCAGCTATGATTCCTTGAGTAAGAAAACCAATGCTCACCCCCTTTGCTTCTATATGAGTCACTGTTTTGGGTGTGCTTCTTCTGAGGGTGAGTAAATCTGTTGCACCTCTGCACTGGGATGGTATAACCTGAGTTGTGCATGTATCTTTCACTAATTACACACCTACCTCCAAAAGAGGGCGATCCAAAGTATATATTAAAAGCTGTTATCTCACTCTGAATTAAATACAGGTTCCTCCAGACGGTCACAGTTTTCTGAGATTCAAGTGCATAGTGGAATTTTAGATTTGTGTACTAAAAGTTTATTAAAGCGCCCTGTCGCCCTAGCCCAACAAATCCACTTAAATAGCGACAGACTTCTTGCAGTTTGGAAAAATTACAGGGAAAGGCCCTCAAAAGTGTAGGTTAAGTGAACAATAAGACATGTAAACAATCCTCAAGCAAATTGAGACGGCTGCTTATTGTCATATAACCACCCCACAAAAGGAAATCAAAACATTAAAGACCTGACCTTGTCCAACCACCATCTAAGCTTTGTGCGAGCAAATCAGGATGAATGCACAATAAGGTCATCTGGAGGAACCCTGGGTTTAATATTTCCTCCTGCTGGTGCCCTAGTTTCTCTTTTTCAAGGGTTCTCTAGCAAGCCATGCTTTCTGTCCTTTAGGATTAAGCACCCAGGTGACAGAAATACAGATTTAGAGTAGATAAAGGCTCGAAATCCTCTGCATGCTTACCTGAGGGGAGCATTCCCCATTGAACACCGTAGATCTTACTTCCAGGTAAATAAACATAGATTTGTTTATTTGTAACAGATTTGTAACAGTGCATTCCCTTGGGTCTCACTCATGCAGGTTAAGCAGGGATGGGATTGCAGCTGCAAGGATGAAAAAAAAGCTCCTGGTATTTAAGGACTGTATTAATTTGTTTAGCTACCGCGTCCCAAAAAGGGCTCGTTCAGGAACACTGCCAAAACTTGTATGAAGTGGGTTAGTCTGTACTGAGTGACTTATTCAACAGTTGACTGTGTTCCTCAAGTCACTTGCTCAGTTAGGGTTGCCAAATTTCCTAGCAGCCTCTGCGCAGCGCCTTTAAAGCTGCATGCAGATGTTAGCAGGTCATCTCGCTTGGTTTGATGCTGTGAAAAAGACCCCCTTGCAAATTCAGCATGCTCTTCAAGGGCATGAGAGAGGGCCCCACAACACCTTCCAGTTTGGGAACTCAAAACCTCAGCGTTGTGTAATGGTTAGAGGGCCTGGGTAGCCAGGGTTCAAATCCAAAAAGCTCGCTGGGTGACCTTGGGCCAGTCATTCCTCTCAGCCTAGCCTACTTCGCAGGGTTGCTGTGGGGTTAAATGAGGAGGGGGAGATCCATGTAACCCCACCTTACAAAAAACAACAACCCACTCTAGCAGGATTTCCTGTTAGATAATCTTCTAGATTTTTCACAACCATCAATTGAATACAGTGCTAGGGAAAGCCAGTCCGTTGAGTTTCTGTCTCGGACTGCTGTCAAAAGACCACAGGAGTCTGTTTTAAGCCTTAGTTGCAACTCTCACCCTGCACCCCCCCAACCCCGTACTTCTCATTGCTCCAACACACCTGTGTGAACAGCTGCTCTCGTGGTCAGTCTGGTCCGAAACACAGGTCCGGTCTGACTGTGGCTCCAGGGACCATCTCAGTAGCACCCAAAACATCTGCTGGCCTTCCTTTGGGAGCGTTGTGGGCAGGTGGCAGAAACCTTGCGGGCAGGATTCTAGGAGTGCATCCTCCTGGCTCAGCTTCTCTGTCTACTGCCCATCAGCAAAAGAGCTTGAGACACACACAAGCGCTGAGAACCGAGAGGGGAGAGCCTGCCCCTGCTGGACTGCATGAAGAGCAGCAGCAGGGACAGCTATACTTGTGCAACTCAGTTCTGCTGTACACTGGTACCTTGGTTCTCAAATGCCTTGGCTGAATGAATGAATGAATCTTTGTTTACATCAGCCATTGGCCATAGCAATAAAACAACAATACGATATACAAAGAATAGAAATAAAAAGTCAGTTATATAAAATACAGGGGATGCGGGTGGTGCTGTGGGTTAAACCACGGAGCCTAGGACTTGCCAATCAGAAGGTCAGCGGTTCGAATCCCCACGACGGGGTGAGCTCCCGTTGCTCGGTCCCTGCTCCTGCCAACCTAGCAGTTCGAAAGCACATCATAGTGCAAGTAGATAAATAGGTACCACTCCAGCGGGAAGATAAACAGCGTTTCCGTGCGCTGCACTGGTCCGCCAGAAGCAGCTTAATAATGCTGGCCACATGACCCGGAAGCTGTACGCCGGCTTCCTTGGCCAATAAAGCGAGATGAGCGTCGCAACCCCAGAGTCAGCCACAACTGGACCTAATGGTCAGGAGTCCCTTTACCTTTATATAAAATACAATTTTAGGGTTTTGAATCAATAGTCAAATAGTGGATCTTACTCTGATTGCCCCAGCTAAAAACCTTGCAACCTTTGCCATCACCTGCTCATCTTGATGTGCCAAGAGGAAGGAGACTGTGGCAGTGGCTGGGCAACCCGGAATGGACAATAAAAGAGGGGTGATAATATCATTCCTCAAGTCTTTTATAAAGAGTGCAAGCCTGGAGGGCATGGCCACTAATTCAGTACTGCCATCTCCACAGGAACATAAGCGTTTTTCGTGTGGAATCTGTTGGAATCAAACGCCTTGGTTCTCAAACACTGAAAACCCAGAAGTAAGTGTTCTGGTTTTTGAACGTTTTTCAGAAGCCGAACGTCCAATGTGGTTGTCGGCTATTGTTTCCGGGGCACCTGCACCAATCAGAAGCTGCACCTTGGTTTTTGAACATTTCGGAAGTCAAACACTTCCGGAACGGATTAAGTTTGGAGTTGTTGTTTTTGCGCTTTTTTGTTCATTTGTTTTTGTGATTGTGTGGAACCCTGTTCAGCTACTGATTGTGTGACTGTAGAAATGGATAAAAGACCCCCATCCAAACAATGACTATCAGTGCAGGTAAGAAAAAAAATCAATTTTATTTTTTTATCATCTACAATACCATCTTATTTATTTTACAGTACAGTACAGTGGTACCTCGCGTTAAGAACTTAATTTGTTCTGGAGGTCCGTTCTTAACCTGAAACTGTTCTTAACCTGAAGCACCACTTTAGCTAATGGGGCCTCCCGCTGCCACCGCCGCATGATTTCTCTTCTCATCCTGAAGCACAGTTCTTAACCTGAGGTACTATTTCTGGGTTAGCGGAGTCTGTAACCTGAAGCGTATGTAACCTGAAGCGTCTGTAACCCGAGATACCACTGTACATTGATTATTGCTTTCATTTTATGTATCAATGGTCTCATTAGATAGTAAAATTCATGTTAAATTGCTGTTTTAGGGGTTGTTTTTAAAAGTGGAACGGATTAATCCGTTTTCCAT